AGAGATCAACCCCCAGGGAACTGAGTAATGGGCAGAAGCTGGAAGAACTTACAGGAGAAGGGCAGACGGGCCGGCAGGTGGCATGCTGGGTGGGGTGCTGGCCTCCCACATGGCCGACTGACTGCAGTTCACGTGCCGGAGCTGGCGCGTGCTTTCTCACTTTCTACTCTCTCTCTCTGTGTCTCTCACTGGTCAAACTTTTAAATAATAATAATAAATGAAATTAAATAAATGATTAGAAGTCTCGACGGTGCAAATGGAGTGGCAAGAGATTCTGGCGAGGGCGGAAGACGAGCTGTAGTCTGAAACGTCTCATGGGAGCGGCATGGGCAGGAGAGGCCATTCGTTCAGGGCTCAGACAGATAGGAGGCCTTGGGGGGAGGCCATGCTGGTCTCACAGTTTCCAAGGACCTGGCGGGGCTCTGTCTCCGTCCCAGGACTTCCAGAAGGCAGGCCTTGAAAGCAGTGAACTGCGACATCCAAGGAGCCGCATGACCTCTGGGGTCAGAGCTGGTAAAGCAGGAAACACTGCATGAGTTAAGGACGGAATTTGTCACCGAAGGGAAGCGGGCTGGGACCGAGCGAGGCCGAGGGCGGAAGAGGGTCTTTGTTAGAGAGAGCCGCCTTCCCTGCCCTTCCCTGTCGGAGTCTGCTCGTGCTGCCGCAGTGGCCCTGGGCACACCTGCCGCCCTGAGCCCTCGCTTGGCAGGAAAGCACGGCAGCTAGCGTGCGGCCTCGGGCACTTCTGCGATCGTCACCACCCGGTCTCGGGCGTGGCACCCTCGGCACCGAAATGCCATTGCCCTTACTTTTCTTTCTTTTTAAAGAATTATTTATGACATTTAATCTATTATTATTCTTAAGTTTACTGCAGGGCACCTGTACTCCCCACAAAGAGATGAAGAGAGAGAGAGGGAAAGTGACCGCATAAGCCACTGTGGTCAGCCGTGTGGGGGTCCGGCTCCTTCACACCACACCGCCTGCTGACCCACGCCTCACCTTTCCACACCATTGCTTTGTGGGTTAAATTTCCAGCACATGCTTGCTGAGGGACAGGGTCACACCATGGCGTGTGTTAATTATGCTGATTTATTAGATGTCTAAGTGCACGACCAGCCCACACGTCAGAGATAAGTGTTATCTGGTCGTCCTGTGCTAAGAGTCTTCAGTGTTCTTGAGGCGAATTTGCTAATATTTTGTTCAGGTTTTGTTGTTCCTATACCCACGAGGTGATTGGGCCTCAGTTTCGTTTGCTGTTACGAATCTGTAAAGTCTGATTTTTGCTCCTTGGTGACCTGTGAAATGATTACAGAGTGGGCAGGAGTGACCTGTGGTCACCCTGGAATCGGCCCTTTACCATGGACACACAGTGCCCTCATCAGAGGGGCCCTGCTGTGTGGGCACCCCACAGCCTCACTGCTGGCCCCCAAGGACACATTTGAATGGGGTCCGAACAGCAATAGTAACCCTGCTGCCAGGGGTGTGCCCGAAAGAATCGAAAGCAGGACTTTGGGGGCTGGCAGGTGGCATGGTTGTTGAGGTGATAGACTCCCATGTGGCCAACTGTGGTTCAAGTCCTGAACCTGGTGGCCCCAAAATTACAACAAATAAGTAAATATTTTTAAAAATTATTTAAAAAGAAAAAGCAGGGCTTTTATGCTCACACCCCCATAGCGTTGTTCACAACAGCTACAATTTTGAAGTGACACAAATGTCCACGGAAGGATGAGCAGATACATAAAACACAGTGCCTGTGTGCAGTGAAATATTATGCAGCCCTGAAGAGGAAACTCTGACCTATGGCCCAGCGTGCATGGACCCTGAGGACATAAAATAAACCAGGCAGAAAAAGACAAACACTGTATGATTCCACTTAGAGGAAGTATTTAGGGAGTAAAATTCCTGGGGATGGAAAACAGAAGAATGTCTGTGGGGGCCGTGGGGAATGAGAGTGGAGTGACAGTCTCACGGGCGTAGGGCTCAGTCCTGCGAGACCAAGGCATGTTAGTGACGGTTGCACATGGGGTAGACCTACCCGCTGCTCTTGAACTGTGCCTTTAAAAGTGGTCTGCGTGGTGATTTCTGTTACGTGTATTTGGTAACAACAAAATGTTATGCAAGCGTTTAAAAAACATATTTAATTCTGTTTGTTATTATTGTTACTATTTAATTTGAGCAGAGAGAGACAGAGAGAAAGGGAAAGTGAGAAAGCAAGCTACCAGGTCCAGGACTTGAACTGTGGGTAAGCCACGTAGGAGTTCAGCGCCCTAACCCCCATGCCCCGTGCCGGCCCACATGCGAGCTTTTTAAAAACACACAGTTGACTATATCCCTTTGGCCTGACTGGGTCTCAGAGTAGGAGGGGGAACCCTGGCTGTGCTGGACTAAGACGGGAGTGGCGTTGGAGAAGCGAGACTGGAAAGAGACAAAAAGACAGAAAAACGCAAGGGTCGCAGAGTCAGGACTCCGCAGGGTCGAAGGGCTGCTGCCGCTGCTCTTCTGGGGACCAGGTTCTGGAAGTGGAGGGTGAGAGTAGGTGCCCTGCTCTGGGGGAGCAGACACAGTGCCGGGTGGGACCCCGCGGCCCTCCACTGCGTCTGCATCCCGCTCAGCAGCTGTGTGGTGCTGGGCCATCGGGCTGGCTCGGTGAGCCCCATGGAGAGCAGTGGAGGGTGGGCCGCGGGCCTGTGCGCTCTCCAGCACTGGCTTCCTTAGGGCTCACTGAGCACTGGCTCCCCGCCATCCGCCCGTGTGAAAAAAAAGGCCCGCCTCCCCTGCCGGCTGGCCCCAGACCCCTGGATTTGAAGAGCTACTTGGTGTCTGCCATGGCCCGTCCCAGTGTCGCCCTCAGAGCCCCTTCCTGCCGGCTCACTCGTCTCCCGCAGCAGCTGCAGGTCCTCAGGCTTTGGCCCTGACATGGTGCGGGAGGGAAGAGAGGCCTTGCTTTCTGTGCTGTTTCTGTTGGTTTGTTACCCAGAGCATCAGGCAGCCCCTCTGACGGGGACCGTCCTGCTCACGGGGGCAGCAGCAGGAACAGGGCCCTGGCCTCGTGAGCGCATGCCTGGTCTCCTGGCTGCATTCGGCGACCCCAGGGTCCGCGCAGTCGTGTGGCCAGGGCCAGGCCCACGCATTGGAAATCAAGCTTGCGAAGGGCTCTGGGGTCACGGCTTGGCCTGTGCAGGCTGTGCTCCTGGAGGCAAAGCCAGCCAGCGTGCACGAGCTGGGACAGTGTGCGGGGCAGGACAGAGGAGGCCTCTGCTCTCTGAGCTCTCCCTGAGTGAGGGGCCTCCCTTGTCCCTCAGCCCCGTCAGGAGGGGACGCAGAGCTGGGGAACGTTGGCAGATTTTCTTCTGTTACTTCGACCTGTCTGGCATACCCCCTTCTCCCTCCTTCCGAGTTTGGGGTGGACGGGCAGGTGGTCTGGTGGTGGCCTCCCGCGGTGGACCTGCGGGCTCTCTGGTTGGTAGCTACAGCTGTCTGTGTGGGTGAACTCGGGCTCCGGGGTGGATGATGGCTCTTGTGTAACCTGGGGATTAGGTACACAGACCACGGAGGACGGCTCAGAGGGCTGCGACAGCACTTCATGTCCGCTTTTCCCGTCAGCCTCCTTGCACACGCAGTCCTGGAGGGCGTGACACCTGGGCGACACGTGTCCTGTGGGTGCGGCAGTGGAAGTGCTTCAGACGCAGGTCCAGGCCAAGTGCATGGTGCGGCCAGGTGGGAGAGCGCAGCAGAGTGAGGGCGGACGCGTCTTTGCGCCCCAGCGAGGGTCCGCCAGCTCTGTATGGAGGGACCCTCTGTGTGCTGGTCTCGCTCACTACCTAATCACCTGTGTTATACTCTGTGACCCTCGCACGCTAATGGCCTCGCTCATGTAAGTTGCTTGATTGGCCGACCTGCTGCAGAAGGGCCAGGAGACCCTGAGTCACCGTGGAACAGAAGGTCACTAAAGGCCGTGGGAGCCCCTGGCGTGGGACGGGCGTCCTGCCAACCCCTGGCTGGACGATGGGAATTACGTGGAGGACGATACGTCTCGGTGGGACTGCGTGAAAGTCACCGCAGCTCCTGGTCACCCCAGTGTCTCAACTACGCACAGCGGGCCTCGTCCCACATCCTCAGACCCAGTTCAGTTGTGGCCCAGAGACAGGGCGCACTTCCCAAGTGACAGGCCACTGTGGACGGGGCTTGGGGCAGGGTACTGAGAAAGCCGGCGTGCTGGTGTGTGTCAGAGCTTTGTCTCCCATGCAGTCGACCATGGTTCAAGTCCCAGGCCCAGAGCTTAAGCTCACAGTTGGGCACCTGTGCATGCGTACCCAAAACCTGAAAGGAGAATGGAGGAGAAGAGACTGCGGTGTGGCCATCCCCCCAGAGGGTGATTTCTCGCTTTCTGTCTCTGTCTCTCTGGTGATCACACACTCCCTAAAGCAAAAATATCTCTGAAAGAAAAAACAAATGAACACTTGATAGACCAAGAGTGACTTCAAGAATAGCTCAAGAAATCAAAGAAAAATGAAGAAGAGAGAAAAACAAGGTCTTAGGAGGCTCCGCTCTCAGAAAGGAATACAGGGCCCAGTGGATGCCTTCCCCCTTTGTCCTCTGCATCCAGAAGTGCCTGACTCGGGCTGGTGAGGGTCCCGGCAGCTTGGCAGCCCACATGCCCTCAGAGGAGAGGCCACAGAGCCGCAGCCAGGCCTGCCCAGTGCCACGGCTGTGCGGTGTCCCTGGTCCTTTGGATGGCAGACTTGGTTACGCCTGCTGGAAGGGGCAGGTATTAAGCACTTTCGACATTTTTCAGTGTGGCGAGGCTTGGATTACAACTCTTGAGTAAAGGCTGACTTCAGGCCCTCAGCAAAGGCTGGGTCTCTGAGAACAAAGCCCAACAGAGCCCCTGGAGCTGGAGGGGAGGGTCCTCCAGAGCACACGCACTCACGCTGCATCGCGCGCACACCGTGGAGCCGGCTCCTGGCCCCAGCTGGGCTGAGGCTGGGCTGAGTAGCTCGGGGTGGGGGTTTGTGCATTTGCCTTCACCACCCGCCTCTCCCTCCCCCGGGCGTCATGGTGATCGATAAGCCACTTCTCATCGTGGGGACATTGCATACCTCCGGCTCGTGCTGTCCGGCTGACGCCACTGGAGGGCTGGAGGTTAAGGCTGGCTGCGAGTTCCCCACATTAGAAGTCAAATAAATTAAAGCACCCTGACCCTGTGGGATTTTGATGTGCAATGAAAGGCCCAGGGCTGGTTTACAAGGCATGATTAAACGCTGGAGAGGGCGAGGTGAAGCCAGTCCTAGCCTTGCAGACCTCCCCTCAGTTAACCCTGCGATGCCCGCAGCCCGGCAATCCTGCAGGTGCCCGCCGGGCCTCTGTAAGGGAAGCAAATTCTGAAAACAGACACACTTTTCCATTTAGAAATAAAAGTGGAGGGCCGGACACCCGAGGGTGGGCCGAGTCTGCTCAGGGAGTGACGCCTCTCAGAGCACAATCCGCCATGCACGGCACGGTCCTCCTCCCACTGCCAGAGCCTGTGAACGCAGGAGGGAAGGTCGCCTGGTCCAGTGGGTGGGTTTTGACAGATGAAAAATGTCACGCATCCACTATTCCAGGGTCAGACAGGATGGCTTCAGTGCCCCCACTAAGAAAACCCCTGAGCTTCACCTGTTTAGCCTTCCATGTCCCCGAACCCCTGGCAGTCACCGAGCCTTGCCAGTCTATCAGCTTGCCTTTTCCAGAATGTCTTGTCAACGAGCCTGTTCAGAATGGCTTCTTCCTCTCAGCGACAGACGTTCAAGGTGTCCCGCTTTTGCTGTGCTCGGTAACTCATCCGTGTTCATAGTGGAATGGCATTCCCTCAGGTGGGGAGGGGTCAGCAGGTGGCATAGTGGTTCGCTGCCGGACTCCCATATGACTGACTGTGGCTGAGTCCCTGACCAGGGAGTTGAACATCATGCCAGGCACACGCATGTGTGTGTGTGCCCAAAATGCCAGGAGGAGAATGGAGGAGAAGAGGCGGTGGCGTGACCATGGCCCCATGTCTCTCCAGCAAATTCACTGTGCCCTACGGCAAAAACCTTAAAAAAAGTTCACGGACAGTGCATTGTCTGAGAAACCGTGCATGGATTCGGCACCTTTTTGCAGCCTAACAAACTTAGAGTTTAAATCCATTCCCCCCAGCCTTTGGGAGTCCCGCAGCTCAGCCTTTGACCTGCCAAAGGCCCGTGGCTACTGTGCGCTCACTGAGCTCGGAGAAGCTCGGGGAAGCTCGTGCTTGGTGTGCGTGTGGCCATGCTTCGGCCGGTCGGCTACTGCCTGCAAGTGGGACCCCCACATCAACTGGGCGCTTTGCAAGGCTTGGCCAGACGTCGGAGAACTGAGTGCAGCCCTTTCCATGCCTACGTGCGGTGAAGGAGCGTGGGCCTCACTAACCCACCGTCACACGGTGGCGTTCCCGAGTGCAGCCACTTGTTAGCATGGTGATGTCTTCCCTCGGTGTCTGTTTTCAGAATTTGCTTCCCTTTGCTCATGATAGTACGTGTGCACATGTGTGAGAGAGCGAGAGCGAACAGCACCCAGAGTCTGGTCCCAGCGTCTTTCTCCCTCTTCCAGCCAGTCAGAGCTTGGCCCTCATGGTGTGCTGGTGTGTTCAGGGCTGGCTAGGCCAGGGTCAAACCGTGGTCACTAGGACCAGCAGGTGGCATGGTGGGTAAGGTGTTTGACTCCCACAAGGCCCACTGAGGTTCGAGCTCCAGCCTTGGTGGCTTGAAAATCATGCCAGTCACATGTGCATGCATGGCCCGAATCCTGAGAGGTGAATGGAAGAGAAGGGATTGTGGCGTGGTCACACCCCTGGGGGTGATTCCTCAGTGTCCCCCGTCTTCAGCAATTACACACCCTCTATAGCAAAAACAAAACAAATAAGCAAACATAGTCACCACGTGAAATCCACACCCCCGATGCCACCTGTTTTATTTAGGTTTCATTCTAGAATAACACAGAAGAAAAACCCCAGCAGGACCTGCAGTTAGTGTAATGGTTATGTCACTGGACTCCTATGTAGTCAACCAGGGTCCAAGTCCTGGACCCAGCCGCTTAAAACTCTCCCTGGGCATGTGTGTGTGTATGCCTACGATCCCAAGAGAAGACGGAGGAGAAGGGATTGTGGCACGCACACCCCCGGACGGTGATTTCTCACTTTCTGCCTCTCTGTCTCTTTCTGCCTCTCTGGTGAGCACATGCACCCTATAGAAAAAAAATCCTAGGCAATTCAGGGCTTGGTGATGAGCTTCTAAATGAAATAGCAAAAGTGCGCTCTGTGAAGTTAAATTTAATAACACCGGTAAGCTGGACACTGTTAAAATGAACTAACGTCAGCTGTGGGAACTGTAGGGGAAGGTCCATGGTTCAACACACACAGAGAATACTCCCCCGAGGGGCAGAAGCATGCTGCAATCCCTTCCCCTCCCCTTCTCACCCTGTTGAAATTTGGGGCACACACGCATGTGCCTGATGCGATTTCCAAGCTCTTGTAGCCTGGATTCAAATCAAGGTCTGCCCCATGGAGTCTGACCCCGAGCACAGCACCCAGCCTGTGCGTGGGCCAGCCCTGCTGAGAATGTTCGCAGCATACATGTCAGATCGAGTCTTGTATCCAAAACACACGGAGAAGTAAAATAATTGAGCTAAAAATGGGCAAAATTCTGAATAGACACCTCATCAAAGAATATATGCAGGGGCCACCAGGTGGTGTGGTGTTTAGGAGTGCTGGGCTCCCAGATGGCTGACCACAGAAGTCACCCTCCAGGTTCGGTGGCCATGTCACAATTCCTTCTCCTCCATTCTCCTCCTAGGATTTGCAGCATGCATGCACATGCCTCCGGCCTGAGTGTCAAGGCTCCAGTTCCAGGACTTAAACCGTGGTCAG